GGCTCCCCCACACCACCTGCCCACCCGACCGCAGGCCACCCCCTGGGTTGGGCCCTCGCCACGCTCAGTGCCCTGACCTGGCCTCCCCCTAGATGACTCGGAGGATGCCCTCATGGTGGACTGGTTCCGGCTCATCCACGAGAAGCAGCTTCTGCTGAGGCTGGAGTCGGAGCTGATGTACAAGTGAGAGGTCCAGCCTGCGGGCCCCCAGGAGCCCCTCTTCCCTGCACGCTGGGCTGGGGCTGGGGAGTCCAGTGCATGGGCCGGACCTCACGCCTGTGTCACCCCGGCAGGGCCAGGGACCAGCGCCTGGAGGAGCAGCAGCTGGACATCGAGGGGGAGCTCCGCCAGCTGATGGCCAAGCCCGGTTGGTCCGACCCGCCCACCATGGATCCCAGGCTGGCCAGGGGGTAGAGGCTGTGGGGGCGGGGCTCAGCCCCAGGGGGTGGAGGCTGTGGGGGCGGGGCTCAGCCCCGGGGGTGGGCATGGGTGCCTGCTTTCCAAGGCCTCTCAAGGCTGCCTGCCTGGGGTGGGTGGTCATGGCTCTCCCTTTCTGGAGCTGGGGTGGCATCTCAGCTCCTCCGTTTCTTGGCTGTGTGTCCTTGGCCACGTCACTCAACCTCTCCGTGCCCGGGTTTCATCCTTGCAAAGTGGGGACAATTCTAGCACCCACCTCCTTCCATTGTTGTGAGGATTAAGTGAGTTAATGTATGCAGGGTAGAGGTGTGGGTGTGACTGTTGGGGCTGTGGGTTCCCATGGTCGAGTGCCCTGGCAGCCCCCCCCGCCCTCTCCTGCTGTGGGAGTCGGGCAGCCGTGCCCTGAGCCTGTTTCCACATCTCCACGTTGGGCAGGTTTTGTGAGGGTGGCTGAGATGACCCGGGGAAGGGCTGGCCACACCCAGTCTCTGATACGTTGTTCATTCACTCACTTATTCATTCATTCAGCCAGTGGTGCCCAGAGGCCCCAGATGCCCAAGGCACTACCCTTCTCCTCCAGTGAAGGAGCCTGACCCTTGAGGGGTGGGGACACCGTGTCCTGAGGAGGGTGGGGACAGCGGAGCCCCAGCTGATGGCAGCTGTCCCTGCAGAGTGTCTGAAGTCCCCCCAGGACCGGCAGCGGGAGCAGGATCTGCTGAACCAGTATGTGAACACAGTCAATGACCGCAGCAACATCGTCGACTTCCTGGACGAGGACCGGCTCAGGTGAGGGGCTCAGGTGAGGGGGCACCAAGTGGCGGGCCCAGGTGAGGGACGCCAGGTGAGGGGGTGCCAGGTGAGGGGCCCAGGTGAGGGGCCCAGGTGAGGGACGCCCAGGTGAGGAGCCCAGGTGAGGGGGCGCCAGGTGAGGGGCCTAGGTGAGGGACGCCAGGTGAGGGGTGCCAGGTGAGGGTGGAGCCCAGGGCAGGGGGCCCAGGTTGGCTCAGATCAGAACCTTCCCCTTGCAGGAGAAGGCCCACTGTGTGTACTTTGCGGGTGGAGCCGGGGTGGAGGGCGGGCCCTGCCATGCAGCCTGCCTTCCAGGTCCCCCACCAAGGAGGCCCCCTGTGCACCACGTTCCCTGACCCTCAGGGTCAGCACGGGCTGGTGGCCCTCTGCAGTGACGGAGGTGTCCTGTGATGGTGGTGCCACACGGCAGCCACGGGTCATGCATGGCTATTAGGTACTTGCACCACGGCCAGTGCAACCGAGGTCCAGGATTTGACCTTTATTTTCATCTTAGACACACATAGCATGTGTGTCTCCTGGTGCTGCACTGGGCCGCCAGCTTTGCAACTGTCCCCACAGAGCTTTCCTGTCCCTGTGTCTAGACGAGGGACCTGTCCAGGCCTCCCGGGGTCAGTGGCCCAGGTCAAGACTCAAGCATGTCACTCTATCAGCTTGAGGGGGCCTGGGCCCAGGTCCTCCCAAGCCCTCTTGTCCCCAGTCACTGCTGAGATGGCAGAGACCTGCCCAGGGAGGGGGAGGGCGGTGCCAGGGTGTGGCTTGTGGGCAGGTGAGAGGGCAGGTGACTCTGGTGCCAGGTGGCCCTGGGCTCGGGGTGCGGCCCTCACAGCCCTGCTCTGTCCCAGGGAGCAGGAGGAGGACGAAGTGCTGCACAACATGATCCAGAAACTGGGTAACATGGCAGTGCCGGCGTGGGGTCGGGGCCGGCGGGCTCGGGGTGGGAGCGGGTGCCGGGACCCACGGTGTGGCAGCAGCAGTGCAAGGACAGGCAGGCACTGTAAGGGACTGAGTTCCCTGTCGCTCTGGGGATCCAAGAAGCACCTGGTGACCACATGGTCAGGGAGGGGCACCCAGTCTGGTTGATGCTCTCGAGGCAGGCATGGTGGACCCCCCTGGGAGGGCGGAGGCTTGGGGGAAGGGCGTGGGGCACTGGCCAAGACGTGGGTGAGCGTGGCCTCGGCATCTGTCCCCCTAGACCTGCAGCGGAGGGGCAGCGACCAGAGGAAGAAGCCCAGGTTCCGCTTGTCCAGCATCTGGTCCCCGAAGAGCAGGAGCAGGACCCCCGAGTAGCTGCCTGGCGGGGGTGCAGGACCCTGGCCTGCAGGTGGGGGTGGGAGTGCGGGTCTCCTCTGGTGGGTCTGGGTGGCCTCAATAAAGAAACTGACCACGTGGCCTGGGCTCCCTCTCCCTGTGCCCACGTGCCGCTGGGCAGCCTAGACATCTCAGCCGTGTCTCGCTTGCGCACCGTCGTGCACGTGCCTGTGGCCTTGAGCTGGCACCGACCCTCTGGGCCTGGCCAGGGCCTCTGAGACATGCATTCTAGGCCTGGCCTGGCTGCGTGGACAGGCTGGACGTGAACCTTACAGGGGCCAGGACCCACCCAGGGGCCAGGGGTGGGTCTTGCAAACTGCACGTGGTGTTGGCCTCACATGGGGATCTCTGTCAAGATCTGTGACCTTGACCTCTTGGACGGAGGCCAGCTGGGCTCTTGGTCCTTATGTGCTCAGCCCCTGGTGTCCAGCAAGGAAGCAGGGCTGGCCGCACTTCCCAACTTCTGACGAGAGGGACGCGGTCGTGCAGGGAAGGACCAAGGCGAGCAGAGCCTCCTCGCAGCCCAGACTCGAGTCCTGGTGCAGCGCTCCCCGCCCCGCTGCCAGGAGACCCAGCCCCACCTCCCCTCTGGGCCCCAGCCCCACTGCGTGAGGGGGATACCATAGCTGTAACTCCTAGTGCTGTCTCAGCCACTGTGGGGCCCATCAGGTTGATCCCGAGGGACCCCTGGCGACGGCAAAGCACCAACACTCCCCCACCTGGTGTCCGGGGGAGCCAAGACCCCCTGGGTTAGGGACGGAGCCGGGAGACCCTGGCTGAGTGCGTTGAGCTCTCGCTGTGTCCCGCTGCCTTCACGGGGTGTTGGAGGGTCTCAGCTGGAGATTCCTGGGACAGAAAGGGCGGCTGCCTGGTGCAGAGGTGGGTTCACAGTCGAGGCTCTGCTGCTCAGCTGTGTGGCCTTGGGCCAGGGCCCTGCCCTCTCTGAGCCTTTAGTGGCTGATGGGTTGCAGGTTGCCTTGAGGCTCGATAGGGTCACGTGGTTGTGTCTGGCCCAGCAACGATGGTGGAGGAGCTCAGAGGCCTCCTGCTTGCCCTCCCCTCACAGCGAGACCCCCACTGGCAGGGCTGGAGGGCGGGGTCACGGACAGAGAGGGATGGGCAGCTCTGAGCTGTCAGTGGGGCCTGGCTGTGCAGGGCGTTGGCCAGGTGGAACAGCTTGGCCAGTTCTTCGGGCGCTGGGCGCCATGGGCGGTCTGAGCAGAGGCCCCAGGTGGGACCTGCGTGTTAGGAGGAGGGCCATGGAGGGCGGCCTGGACTGGTTTGCCAACTCTCTGGCCGAGAACCCCCCAACCCAGGCCATCCTCCCAGGCTTATGTGCTGGGGACCTACCGCAGTGTGGCCTCTTCACCACCAGGGGGCGGCGGAGGGCCATTCAGCGAGGTAGCTCTGTTGTACTGATAATAAAACTGAGGCTCAGAGAGGGGAGGTGATCCCCTGAAGTCACACAGCAAGTTAGATGTGGCCTGAGACTGCACCCCGGGGCCTGCCTCCAGCACTCCCAGGGCTGCGCCCGCCACGTGACCTGGGAGCCCGTGGTGTTTGGGGTGTATGTGGGGTCTTTGAGACGCGGCAGGGAAGATTCCAGAGTGGGTGCACTGTCCAGCTGGTTACAGCCGTGGGCAACAGACTGCTCCTGCTGGGGACCCGCACCTCAGAGGCGTCCCCACTGGGCGAGGGAGCCCCCTCCACGGCTGCTCCCTGGGGGTGCCGGGGGGCACAGGGTAACAGACCTAGTGGTCAAGCCCCTGGGCCCTGAGCCGCTGGCGGCGTGTCCTTGCTGTCTGCCGGGGGCCCAGCGCCTGCAGGCCCTGTACGCCCCCGTCATGGCAGGACTCGCAAGGTGTCCTCGGGGGCACGGGAGCTTCCAGGTGGTGCAACGTCCCTTCAGCCAGCGGGCAGAGCAGGAGGGCCGTGGGAACCCGGGGTGGCCCCTTGGTACAGGTGGGGCCTGGCTTCACTGCTGCCCCCCAACTTGGAGGAGAATCAGCCTGGTTCTCACCCACCCCAGGGGACCCCCAACAGCCCTGAAGGGGGCCCACACCCTAGATGGGAGCTGGGCACAGCACTAAGGGAGAGGCCCAGCCGGACACCAGCCCACCTCCGCTCGATGGCTCCCGGGGCTTCAAGATCCCGGCTGTGCATACAGGAGGTGCTTGATATGTGTCAGGGCGTTTCTTTCCCCAGATGTGGTCTAGAAGAACCAGTGTCCCCATCAGCGGACGTGGGGGGCACACATTATGGGAGGGCCAGTCCCTGGATGGCACCCCTCACGCCCTCACCCTCACTTGGCCCACGAGGGTCCGGGGCCTGCAGCCTGAACTGAAGCACATTCAGGGCAGAAGCAGCCCTCAGACTGAGGCCTGGCCACAGAGAGGGTCTGGAGTTTTGAGGGGAACCCAAGGTGGGGAGTGGGCTGGTGTGGCTGCAGCAGGAGGGAGGGGGGATTGACCTGGCTGGGCCCGGGGGAGCAGGGGCTTCCGTCTGCCCTTCCACTCCCAGGGAAGCTGGCCTCCTTCCATTGCTGCCTCTGCTGCATGTCCTGGCCTCTGGGCCAACACACCGCAGGGCCTTTGCACTTGCAGCCCCTTCACACGGAGCCCTGTCCTCCACAAGGCTGGCTCCTCCAACAGGTCTCTGCTGACTGAACCGAGCCCTCCTGGGGAGGCTCCCATGAACCCCTGACTCTGCCCGTCACCCTGGCTCATTTTCAACACCTGGAAGTCACCTTTGGAATCTAGGTCCCTGGGTCAAGGAGCTGGTCTGTCTCTTGCACCACTGTGTCCCCAGCACCCAGAACAGCACCCAGCACGTGGTTTGTTGGGTGCGTGATCAAAGCCAGCATCTCAAGCTGGGACTTTGGACCTCTTGGTCGGCCTTTCAGAGCCTCAGTTTTTTTGTCTGGGAAGTGGGAGAGCGAGTTGCTTGGTGTCCGCCGGCCTACGGAGAAGGAGCAACCTGAGCCCGAGCTGGCACTGACCTGCAGCGGGTCAGGCCCTGGAGCTCCTGAGCTCCAACGGGCAGAGCACCCGTGGGGGCCACACAGACGGCCCCTGCCACCAGCCTGGTACCTGAGCTGAGCAGGGGAGAGACTAGGAGGGCTGCAGCCGGGGGTTCGAGGCCTCAGGGGGTTTGGGTGCATCACAGAGCTGGTGGCCCTGCCTCCCAGGCCCAGAGGGAGCAAAGTCTGTGGGACACTGGGACCCTGTCCCCAGCCTCGGCTCCCACCTGCCTTCACGCCTGCACCTCTGCAAGGTGTTCGGGGTCCCGGCCGTGCACCAGGGATGGGGAGGCCTGCGAGTGTCAGAGGTGGGCTCCTCTGGCCACCCCTGTCCGACAGCCCCTGAGCAGGGGTGGGGGATTAGTGTGTGAGTGAGGGCCCCAGCAGCTGTAAATAATTGTGAGGCCACAGGGGTGAGGCCCCACCTGCCTCCTCCACTCCTACCAAGTGTGAGCTGCAGACCCCACCTTTCCTCCGAGGCTGCTGTGGCCCCCACGCACCTCCGAGTCTGGAGCTCTGGCTCCTGGGGCCCTCGCACCCTGGGCCGCCCCCTCAGCAGAGGCCCGTGTCCAGGTGGCTGTGTCTGGTCCCGAGAGCCGGGCTGCTGGCCACCTAGATGTCCCCCCCGGCCCTGCCGTCCCAGGCTGGTTCTGCACTAAGCAGGTCTCCCAGGTGGGCCGGAGACGCTGATGAAGACGGACGGCATGGGCACCGGCCCATCACATTGTTAATAAAGAACACGGTGCGCGCACCTTCCCCGGCAGCCGCCGACACGTCCCAGAGCGCGCGAGGCTGTGACCCCGCTGCAACGCCGTCTCGAGGACGCCTCACCTTAAGTGGAGATGACGTCATAGTCCTCTTTCCTTGAATTAAAAAGCTGAAACCTTTCCGCTGGCTCTCACACGGTTGTGTAAAACTTAATCATTGTATTTCCATATGGGTCATCTGGACTCATTTATTTATGAGGAGAACTTTCTGGAAAGAGGTGAGTGGATGGGTGAGAAGAGGCCTCAGGCCCTGGGGCAGGGTGCCCGGCGCTGGGCCCACCCCCTCCGTGTGCACGGAGCTCTGGGGTCAGGACCTGAGGCTCCTTGTGGGATGGAGGTGCTTTTGCTGTCAAATGCTGTATTTTGGGCAGAGGGGAAAATGCAGGAATTGGTGGCACCAGGATCGACAAGCCTAAAGGCCAGCGGGGCACAGGGAGGCAGGCGGAGCTGGCCGTCAGAGGGCCGGCCCACTGGGCATCCAGCAGGTGTGACCTGGAGGACCCACACCTGGTCCGCTGGGCTTCCTGGGCACAAAGCATTTTCTGCTGCAGCTTTTGAGTTACGACCAAGCCCCTCCCTGTCAGTCCGCCGAAGGGGGCCGTTCAGGTGCCCTGATGGACGGGGGACAGCGTGCACAACACAGGTGGCTCTCAGCCGCCTGCGGCGTGGCCAGTCCCGAGTAAGATGCACCCACAGAGACCGAGACATGTGGGATTTCCAAACCTGAGCCCACGGAAAGGGAACGGCGGCTGGATTTCGTGCTGATCACCTTGAAATGGAGAGATCGCGTGTGCACTGGACTCAGTACGATGCTAATAAAGCTAACCGCGTAGGTGTCACCGTTTTTGTTTTTGCGCCTTTGAGGGGGGCAGTCAGGCTTGTTTACTCACTTGCCTTGGAGGACGCGCCGGGGCCGCACCCAGGACCCGTGCGCGCTAAGCCTGCGCTCTGCCAGCCAGGCTTCGGCCCCCTCCCCGGTGCCCCTTCTCCTCAGCGCGACTGCTGGAAAGCTCAGAATCATGCACACAGCCCTTGCAGCTGCGACTTGTCGTCTCCCCGTCAGCCGGGGCTGCTGACCGTTCAAGTGCTTCATCGCCGTCCTGCTTGCCAGTCTTGGGGAGTCCAGCTGTGCCAGCTCTGCTGTCCTTCTGCCCCGGACCGCCACTGGGGGGACCACACTGCTGTCGTCCACTGTCTCTCAGAATGTGTCTGAATCTGAGTTTCCCTCCATCCCGCAGCCCTGCCCCCGATCCAGGCCACCTGGGCGTCTCCCCCACCCAGGTGTCTCCCCACGACCCTGCAGGACCCCCCAGCTCCGTGGGGGAACCTTCTCATTGGGGAGGTTCTGTGTGAGGTTGGTCCTGTTACGTCTTGTCCGTCCGTCCAGCAAGGGGTCAGGGCACCTCCACAAACCAGAGCCCAGCTCCTGCCTGGGGGGCTGCGGGCGGCAAGTACTGGGAGCTGCAGTCCCGGGCAGGGGCTCCGTGGGAGGCGACGGCCCGGAGGGGCCAGCAGGGTGAGTGGGTCAGCCAGACGCGGATGGGGCGGGGC